GTGCATGTGTGCGCCGGTCAGCTGATTTTCGGACTTTCTGGGCTCACCAGAAGTAGGGAAACAGGCTGTTTCCTGCTTCTGGAGGGCCTCAGGGGGTGGTGGGGAAGGCTTGTTTTTCTCTCTCTCCCCCCCCCCCAGGCTCCAGAGCCTTTTTAGGAGACTGGGGAGGGCAAAAACTGCCTTCCCCACCCCCCAGAAACCCTCTGGAGGCCGGAAACGGCCCATTTGCCAACTTCTGGTGGGACCGGAAGTTGGCAAACAGGCCGTTTTTGGCCTCTGGAGGGCCTCCAGGTGGGTGGGGAAGGCTGTTTTTGCCCTCCCCAGACTTCTTGCTGAATGAGTCAGATTGTCTTGTGGCACCGAGTTCCACAAGCTACGAGAGGGATGGGCAAAGAAATACTGAAGGGTTTTCCACCCCTTAAATTGACTGTCAATAAACTCCACTCAGTGAATGAAACTTCAAAGTGGACCCTCTTAAAGTTATGTGAATATTATCTGGTGCTTCGTTTTTTGGGAGACGTTTTCATTCCACCTCATCCATCCCACGACGACGCCAATGACGCATCCGTCCGTGGAGGAATGATGGAAACACCGATCCCTTCATTATCCAAGGATAATTAAATTAGCGAGAATACTCTTTCACGAAAAAGGATGATGGGCAGAACACACTGTTCCCCCCCCACCCTAATTTTCCAAGGATGAATCAGAGTTTTGATTGCAAGGCTGAAGTCATCCGTTTGGGGCACGAGAGCTGGGCCAGGGTACTTATTGCTGCTTTTTATCCATTAAGCTGACCCCAGAATCTCTTTTAAGAAGAGTTTCGACGACCGTTTGTCTGAAATGGTTTAGGGCAGTGATGGCTAAGCTTTTTGCCATCGCGTGCCAGGAGGGGGGGGCGGGGGAGGCTCACACGCGGACGTGCCCACACTCATAATTCTATTCACCCCGCCCCACATATGTGCGTGCGACCCCCCCCCTTACCCCTACCCCCGCTCCTGGCACACGATGGCCTGGTAGGCCCGCTTTTCTTTCTCACCTGGCTCCAGATCCTCTCTATGCATCTGGGGAGGGCGAAAACAGCCTTCCCCATCACCTCGGAGGCCCTTGGAGTTGGGAAACGGCCCATTTCCCAACTTCCAGTTGGACAGGAAGCGAAGTTTTTTGCTGCCTCCAGCCTCCAGAGCCCAAAAATCAGCAAGCCGGCACGCGCATGCGCGCCAGAGCTGAGCTTGTGTGCCCACCGATATGGCTACGTGTGCCTGCCATAGGTTCGCCATCATGGGTTTAGGGTTTCCTGCCTGAGCAGGGGGTTGGACTAGAAGACCTCCAAGGTCCCTTCCAACCCTGTTATTCTATTCTATTCTATTCTATTCTATTCTATTCTATGCTATGCTATGCTATGCTATGCTATGCTATGCTATGCTATGCTATGCTATGCTATGCTATGCTATGCTATGCTATGTTATGCTATGCTATCCTATCCTATCCATTATTCTATTCTATTCTATTCTATTCTATTCTATCCTATCCTATCCTATCCTATCCTATCCTATCCTATCCTATCCTATCCTATCCTATCCTATCCTATCCTATCCTATCATCATTTCCTTTCCTATCCTTTCCTATCCATTATTCTATTCTGTTCTGTTCTGTTCTGTCCTGTCCTGTCCTATCGTATTTCCTTTCCTATCCTTTCCTATCCATTATTCTATTCTATTCTATTCTATTCTATTCTATTCTATTCTATTCTATTCTATTCTATTCTATTCTATTCTATTCTATTCCAAGAATAATAGAATAACAGAGGAGGAGACCCTGTGCAATCCCAGGCGAATGGCTCCGTCCAACCTCTTTTTGAAAACCTCCAGTGAGGGAGCAACCTACAAGTTCTGGTGGCAAGCTCTTCCACCGATTAATTCTTCTCAATTGTCAGGAAATTTCTCCTTCATTCTAGGTTGGTCCTCTCCTTGATTATCTCAAAGGTGCTTTTTTCGAGAGGCAACTGGATTTCCTTTGTTTTTCCCCTGAAGACGTTTTTCGCCTCTCATCCAAGAAGCTTCTTCAGGTGTGAACGGTTGTGTGCCTCTTGAAAAAAAGCACCTTTGGGACAGCCGTGACCTGAATCTCCATAATGGAGCACCCACAACTTCTAGTGGCAAGCAGTTCCACTGGTTAATTGTCCTCACTGTTAGGAAATTTCTCCTTAGTTCTAGGTTGCTTCTCTCCTTGACTAGTTTCTATCTGTTGCTTCTTGTTCTGTCTTAAGGTGCTTTGGAGAATAGTTTGACTCCCTCTTCTTTGGGGCAGCCCCTCAAATATTGGAAGACTGATATCATGTCTCCCCTAGTCCATCTTTTCATTAAATTAGACATACTGAGTTCCTGCAACTGTTCTTCATATGTTTTAGCCTCCAGCCCCCTAATCATCTTTGTTGCTCTTCTCTGCACTCTTTCCAGAGTCTAAAATTCTTCTTGGTATTATCGTGACCAGAATCAGATGCAATTTAAAAGAACTATAATACTTTATAAACTTTATCTATTGGGTCTAATCTACAACCAGGCACCCAATATATTTTTCCAATCGGTTTTGATCAACCGCAGAACCCTGAAAAATCACCCAAAACAATTCATGCTAAAATACTTTTTTCCCCCCCCAAACGTGGCAACTTTAAGATGTGTGGACTTCAACTAAGAGCCTTGGTAGTACAAGGGTTTAAGGCACCCTGTTATTAAGCTGCTTAAGACCAGCTGCCTGCAATTACTGCAGGGTTCGAATCTCGCCAAGGCTCAAGGTTGACTCAGCCTTCCATCCTTTCTAAGGTAGGTGAAATGAGGACCCAGTTTGTGGGGGCAATAAGCTGACTTTGTATAAATATACAAAAGGATGAAGGCTATTGCTTAGCGCATTGTAAGCCGCCCTGAGTCTTCGGAGAAGGGCGGCATATAAATCAAATTAAAAAAAAAAAAAAAAACTCCCAGAATTACCCGGCCACCATAGGATGGGATAACTGGCAGGGGAATTCTGGGAGTTGAAGTGCCTTCATCTTAAATTGTTCAGTTTGGTCTAGTGGTAAAGGCACCTGGATAGAATGGAGGAGATGGTGAGTTCTAGTCCCGCCTTAACCATGAAAGTAGACTGGGTGACTTTGGGCCAATGGCCAGGAGACTGTGAGTTCTAGTCCCACCTTAGCCATGAATGCAGATTGGGTGACTTTGGGCCAATCCTCAGGAGACAGTGAGTTCTAGTCCTGCCTTAACCGTGAAAGTAGACTGGGTGACTTTGGGCCAATCCCCAGGAGATGGTGAGTTCTAGTCCCGCCTTAACCATGAAAGTAGACTGGGTGACTTTGGGCCAATAGCCATGAGACAGTGAGTTCTAGTCCCGCCTTAACCATGAAAGTAGAGACTGGGTGACTTTGGGCCAATCGCCAGGAGACTGTGAGTTCTAGTCCTGCCTTAGGCATGAAAGCCAACTGGGTGACTTTGGGCCAATCGCCAGGAGACTGTGAGTTCTAGTCCTGCCTTAGGCATGAAAGCCAACTGGGTGGCTTGGGTCCAATCCCCAGGAGACTGTGAGTTCTAGTTCTGCCTTAGGCATGAAAGCCAACTGGGTGACTTTGGGCCAATCGCCAGGAGACTGTGAGTTCTAGTCCTGCCTTAGGCATGAAAGCCAACTGGGTGACTTTGGGCCAATCGCCAGGAGACTGTGAGTTCTAGTCCCGCCTTAACCATGAAAGCAAACTGGGTGACTGGGCCAATCGCCAGGAGACTGTGAGTTCTAGTCCCGCCTTAGGCATGAAAGCCAACTGGGTGACTTTGGGCCAATCGCCAGGAGACTGTGAGTTCTAGTCCCGCCTTAGGCATGAAAGTAGACTGGGTGACTTTGGGCCAATCGCCAGGAGACAGTGAGTTCTAGTCCTGCCTTAACCATGAAAGCCAACTGGGTGACTTTGGGCCAATCCCTCTCTTTCGGCCCAACTCACCTCACAGGGTTATTTTCATTGTTCTAAAAAAAATGTTTTTTTTTTTGTTTTTTTTAGAAAAGTATTTTTTAAAGTTGCCAAGATTAAGAAACACCGCTTCAGAATCAGAACAACAGCGAAGCTTACACAACACACACAAAACCTTCCACCGCCCTTAAGGCCTAACAATACGCTAACCCACAAGAAAAGCTAACCAAGATTAAACCAAGTTTAGTGGGCGAGGGGAAAATTGTGGGCAACCGGGGTGCCCATCGAAAGCGCAAAAAAGCCACGGAGCTTTCAGAGGGACCATCTGGGTTCGAAAGAGGCCAAAGAAAGCCGGGGAGAGGAGAGAAGAGGCACTACTTGCTTCAGCCTTACCCCATCCCTTGGGTCCAGATGCGAATCCTGCTCCAAGGTCTCTTACCTGGCAAGGGGGAACCCAGAGAGTTCCTGCTTGGTTCAGCCTCACCCCTTTTTCGCCCAGGACCAAGATTCAAATCCTGCTCCAAGGTCTCTTCAGTGAACCCACCCATGCAGGTCCTCCTTGCTTCCTGCCTCCCCTTCCCTGGGACCCCGATGCAAATCCCGCTTCCTGCCTGCCTCTTAGCAAACCTACGGAGCTCCTCCTTGCTCCAGCCTCCCCTTTTCTTCTTCTGGGGACCCCGATTCAAATCCTGCTCCAATGCGAATCCACAGAGACTTCAGCCTCCCCTTTCGTCCCCTGCTGGGGACCCTGATGCGAATCCTGCTCCAAAGCCTCTTAGCTGGCAAGGTGAATCCATAAGAGTTCCTGCTCGGTTCAGCGACCCCCCCACCCCACCCCACCCCACCCCGCCGTCGACTTCTTTCTCCCGGGACCCCGATGCCAATCCTGCTTTCTTAGCGGGCAACGCAAACCTGCTTCAGCCTGGGGTGGGGGGGGGAGGGCTCCGATTCAAATCCTGCTCCGCAACCTCTTAGCTGGCAAAGCGGAAACCCCCCACCCACCCATCCACCCCACTCCCAAGCCCACGCGTGAGACGGGCCCCCTCCTCACCTGGTTTCTTCTTTCTGCCTTGGGCGAGCATTTCCTTAGAGTTGGCGAGGAACAGCACCAGCCAAAGCACCCGCCGCATCTGGCCTGGCATCAAACGGAGCAAGGGAAGCCTCAAATCCTCCAGTGCGCCGGGTGGGGGTGGAAGTGGGGGGGCACAGTTCTTCCTGCCCCCCTCCCAGCGCAGGGATGGGGAGGGGGCGCGTGGGCGAAGCAACTCTTCCCGTGGGAGTTTCCAAAAGGAGTGGGGGAAGAAAAAAAAAAAGAAGAAACAAGGAAAGCCACGTTCACAGCATCTCCAGCAGCCGATGGGTGGGCACCAAGCGGGCACCCAGGGCGAAGAGTAGAAGAGGTGGGGGGCTATCAGCCTCGTGGACCACCACCACCCCCAGAAGCCTGATTGGGATGGGTGGGGGGAAAAGACCCCCTTAGCAACAACCGCAGAGGTGGTCAGCTGGTTAGGTTCTTTTGCTGCTCACCTGCGGCGGGAGACCCCGGGCGCCCTTGCCAACCGGGCACAGGCGCCCCCCGCCCAGGGCAGGCGGCCGCTTCGCCTCCTTCGGGACCCCGCTGGACCGCCTTGTGCCCGGGCTGAACTCCTGCCATGGCTCGGCAACCAGGTTTCGAGGGAAGCCCCGGCCGAACTGCTGGGGTGGAGTCACGGAGTTAACCGTGTCCCTGCCGGACAGTCCCGGCCCTCCCTCCGTGTCCACCTCCCCTCCCCTCCTGGCCCCCCAAGACCCCCACCCACACCAGGGGAAGACCACCCCCCCCCCCAAAACCGGCTTTCGGGATGAGGCAGATCCGCGATCCTGAGCTGAAGGCAAAAGGAATCAGCGCCGCGGGCCGAGTCGGGGTCGTTGGGCGAGGGGACGGGATGGGTGGGGTGGGGTCGTCCTCGGTCGCGCAGCCGGCCGAGGGGCAGGGAGACTCGGGGGGCTGTGGGAAAAGGTTAGGGTTACTCTCTGCCTGCGAAGCGACTCATGGAATTCATTGTTCCGTTTCTTTGTTTCCATATTCGGTTGGTTGGTTATTCGCTGGTTTGCTTTTGAGTTGAATTTCTGGGTTGCTTATTTATTGGGTTAATTGCCTGCCTGCTGCCTGCCTGCTTATGTATGCATGCATGTCATGTATGTATGTATGTATGTATGTATTTAATCATCTACTATATTTATCAATTAGGTAGTTAGATTATTTCTTTGTTGGATTATTTAATGGTTTATTAGATTTCTCTCTCTATCATCCATCCATCCATCCATCCATCCATCTATCTATCTATCTCCATCTATCTATCTATCTATCTATCTATCTATCTATCTATCTATCTATCTATCTATCTATCTATCTATCTACATCCATCATCTATCTATCTAAGCTGACTTTGTTTAAAAAAAGAACACCGCTTGGGGGGGGGCGAAAGCCCTACTAAGCAGGTATATACAAAATTTATGACGGCTATTGCTTAACGCATTGTAAGCCGCCCTGAGTCTCCGGAGAAGGGCGGCATATAAATCGAACCAATAAATAAATAAATAAATAAATAAATAAATAAATAAATAAATAAATAAATAAATAAATCTCCATCCATCATCCATCCATCCATCCATCCATTCATCCATCTCTCTCTCTATCTATCTATCTATCATCTATCTCCATCCATCATCCATCCATCCATCCATCCATCCATCTATCTCCATCCATCATCCATCCATCCGTCCATCCATCCGTCCATCTATCTATCTCTATCTATCTATCTATCTATCTATCTATCTATCTATCTATCTATATCTCCATCCATCATCCATCCATCTATCTGTCTGTCTATCTATCTATCTCCATCCATCCATCCATCCATCCATCTATCCATCCATCCATCCATCCATCCATCCATCCATCTATCCATCTATCCATCTATCCATCTATCCATCTATCCATCCATCCATCCATCTATCCATCTATCCATCCATCCATCTATCCATCCATCCAGCCAGCCAGCCAGCCAGCCAGCCAGCCAGCCATCATTTATTAGATTATGTACTTATTTATTATTTATTTATTTATTTATATTTTTAATTTACCATTATTACTTTGATAAATAACTTCACAAACATACCTGCAATACACCTTCCTCCTTCTATTTTCCCCAAAACAACAACCCTGTGAGGTGGGTGGAGAAAAAGTAACGGGTGCAATGTTACCCAGCCGACTTTCATATGCCTAAAGTGGGACTAGAATTCCCAGTCTCCTGGTGATTGGCCCAAAGTCACCCAGCCAATTTTCATACCTAAGGCAGGACTAAAACTCACTGTCCCCTGAGGATTGAACTAAAGTCACCAAGCCAATTTTCATGCCTAAAGTGATTGGCCCAAACTAAATTTTGCCCCATTTTACAAAGACACCCAAACAGCTTTTGTGCGTAAGACGGGACTAAAATTCACGTAGAAAAATCTCCTGGTTTCTAGGCCAGCACCTAAACTATTACCCCGAACTAGATCTGCCAGATTTCATCTGATTGGTACCATAACACCAGACAGGACTGTTCCTTTGGTGACATCAGAAACTTTGGTCCTCGTTCTACATTCCTTCTCCGTGTTTGGCCCTTGTGTCCTCCAATGTCAAATTCCTTTCCGAACATTTCCTTATGTTTCAAGATGAGCTAAACTCTTGCCTGTCGCATGCAGCCCATTTCCCCTGACTTCATTTCAGAGCAGCTCCTTCCAATTCTCTAAAAAACACAACAACACCACATCTATTTATCCATCCCTACAAGGTTAGCGGTCCAGAACGGAGCTGTCGGCGACTGGAAAACTTGACACGGGTTCCCAGAAAGCTTTTGGCAATCAGTCTTCGACTTACGACTACATATTGAGAGACCAAAATTCCCGTTGCTAAGCGAGGCCGTTCTTCAGTGAGCCGCGGCCAATTTTACGACCTTTCTTGCCACAGTCGCTAAGCAAATCACAGCCGCTGAGCCACAGGGTCATTCATTAAGCATGACTTTGCTTAAGGATGGAAAACGGCTCACAAAAGATTTATTTATTTATTTATTTATTTATTTATTTATTTATTTATTTATTTATTTATTATTAATCAAATTTCTATACCGCCCTACTCCCGAAGGACTCAGGGCGGTGAACAGCCAAGATAAAATACAGATAATACAAATATTAAAAATCCCTTAAAATTATTAAATATTTTGGCCGAAACACAGATTAAAACACCCAATTTATAAAATCACAAATTAAAAATTTCTGACCATGTGATCCTGGGCATGCTGTGACGGTCATAACTGCGAGAACCATTGTAAGTCACGTTTTCCAGTTACCATTGTAACTTTGAACCAGGGGTGGGTTCTAAATTTTTTTACTACCGGTTCTGTGGGCGTGGCTTATTTTGTGGGTGTGGCTTGGGGGTCATGTGACTGGGTGGGCGTGGCTAGCTGGTCAGAGTCATTCCTGGAAGGTCCTCGCACTTACGACCCAACTCATTTGTTTGCTTTTAACACTGATCAGCTGTAGGGCGGCCCTTTGAGAGTTTAAACAGTTTTTTTCCCTCTAGTCATCAGCTGGGACTCAGGAGGCAGCAATAGATTGGGGGTGGGACCAAATAAAAGGTAAGAATAACGTGGGGGGGTGGGAGGGCAGGGGGAGGAGAACCGGTTCGGTGACGTCATATCGTCACCGCTACCGGCTCGGCCGAACCGGACCCAACCGGGAGGAACCCACCACTGCTTTGAACGGTTACAACGGTTAGATGAATGGTTGTAAGTCAAGGATTAACTGTACCCTATTTCAAATATTCTCCACCTGGATTGAAATTGACTCATAAATCAGGGATCCCCAGCCCACTATCGGGCCGTGGTTTAATCACCACCAGGCCACATGAGTGTCCAGCCAGCACATGTGCATACGGCCAGCATCATTGCAAACATCTTGGGTGCTTAAACACCTGCTCGCACTCTCACCTGCGCCTGCCCCTCCCACAAAATCAACTCCTCTTTCCTCCTTCTCCTCCCCCACCCCAAACTCCGGACCACCAACCCAGAAAGTTTGGGGAAGTCTGACGTCAATCATCTGAAAATTGTTCCAAAATAATTGCAACAAAGATGATTAGGGGACTAGACGAGGCTAAAATATATAAAGAACGGTGGCTGGAATTGGGTAGGTCTAGTTTGATGAAAAGAAGGACTGGGGGTGACTTGATAGCAGCCTTCCAATATCTCAGGGGCTGCCCCAAAGAAGAGAGGGAGTCAACCTACTCTCCAAAGCACCTGAAGACAAGCAACAGATAGAAACCAATCATATATTCTGAAAAAGTCACCCAGCCAGTTTGCATGTCTAAGGTGGGACTAGAACTCTCCATCTCCTGGTGATTAGCCCAAAGTCACCCCGTCAGTTATCATCTTAAGGCGGGACTAGAACTCGCCATCTCTGGGAGATTGGCCCAAAGTCACCCCATCAGTTATCATGCTAAGGTGGGACTAGAACTCACCATCTCCTGGTGATTGGCCCAAAGTCACCCCGTCAGTTATCATCTTAAGGCGGGACTAGAACTCTCCATCTCCGGGAGATTGGCCCAAAGTCACCCCATCAGTTATCATCTTAAGGCGGGACTAGAACTCTCCATCTCCTGGAGATTGGCCCAAAGTCACCCCGTCAGTTATCATCTTAAGGCGGGACCAGAACTCTCCATCTCCTGGAGATTGGCCCAAAGTCACCCCGTCAGTTATCATCTTAAGGCAGGACTAGAACTCACCATCTCCTGGTGATTGCCCCAAAGTCACCCCGTCAGTTATCATGCTAAGGTGGAACTAGAACTCTCCATCTCCTGGAGATTGGCCCAAAGTCACCCCGTCAGTTATCATCTTAAGGCAGGACTAGAACTCACCATCTCCTGGTGATTGGCCCAAAGTCACCCCGTCAGTTATCATGCTAAAGTGGGACTAGAACTCTCAATCTCCTGGAGATTGGCCCAAAGTCACCCCATCAGTTATCATGCTAAGGTGGGACTAGAACTCACCATCTCCTGGTGATTGGCCCAAAGTCACCCCGTCAGTTATCATCTTAAGGCAGGACTAGAACTCTCCATCTCCTGGAGATTGGCCCAAAGTTACCCCGTCAGTTATCCTAAAGCGGGACTAGAACTCACCAGCCCAAAGTCACCCAGTCAGCTTTCGTGCCTAAAATGAGACTAGAACTCACCGTCTCCTGGAGATTGGCCCAAAATCATCAAATCAGCTTTCATGCCTATGGCGGGACTAGAACTCATTGTCACCTGGTAATTAGCCCAAAGTCACCCGTCCAGCTTTCGTCCCTAAGGCAGGACTAGAACTCACCATCTCCTGGTGATTGGCCCAAAGCCATCCATCCAGCTCTCTTTCATGATTTAAAATGGGACTAGAACTCACTGTCTCCTGGTAATTAGCCCAAAGTCACCCAGCTGGTTT